ATGGGGGGGGTGGTAGTCCCTTGCACAGTCATAGGGAAATTGAGAAGAGAGATGGGTTTTGGGGCAAAGACAATGAAATCTGCAATGATGATCACAGCTGTTAGTCACCCCATGAAACTCACTCTGTCCCACCCTTCCTTCCTCCAAAGGTTGTTTTGCTTGGTGGGAAGGGTGGGGGATTCTAGGTGATCTCCGGGGCAAAAGGTAGGAATTTTCCTAGTGGTACCTGAGCAGTTGCTGCTATGTATGCCAGGGAGCCAGTAGTAAGGTCATAACTTCTCTGAACTGGCCCCTACTAGACTTGGAAGAAGGGAAGTTTGGGAACGTTACACAGGGAAGAAAGGGATCAGAGTTGGGGGGGAGGGGGAAGAGTGTGGTTGTCTTGGAGATGAGCCCTGCCCATAGCTATGGTGTGGAGGGTAGAATGCAAACTCTTTTCCTCCACTATGATTGATTGGTCACTCACACACCTGAGGGGTCAGGCTTTAGCCTCCTCTTTGAAGCATACTGTTGTAGATCCTGTCATATCAGGCCCAGTTGAAAAAACTGGAGATATTTAGTCAGAAGAAAAAACATGTGAGTGTGCTCAATGGGTGTGTGGGTGTGTGGGTGTGATGGTGGTCACGGTAACACAGGAATGTAGGACAGGGATTAGATTTGCTCCACCTGTCCTCAAAGGGTAGAACCAGTAGTGAGACACTTTTCGGTTTGATGCGTCAAAGGTATTCAGAAGCAACGTGGGCTGCCTCAAAAGGTGGTGGGTTCCTCTTCCCTGGAGGTCTTCAAACAAAGGCTAGATGATTACTTTTTGGCAGTTGTAGAGAGAATTCCTATGGGCACGGATTGGTTTAAAGAATACAAACCCAACACAAGTGCCTGGTACCTAGTAGGCACTTAATAAATGCTTGTTTGATTCACTTGATGGCCATTGAGATCTCTTCAGACTCTTCGACTCTGAAATTTTGTGATTCTGTGCTGTGACATTCTGGCTTGCATCCTGGCCTGTGCTGCCTCAGGAGGATGAGGAGATTTAGCAGGATTAAGCTTCCGCCAGAAAGCCTGCTTGCTGCCCAGGAGAAAGGAAGGATTTAATTTGAGGATTGGCTAAATAAAACCAAACTTTGACAACAGGTATACATTCTGTGCGTGGGCAGCAGTAACAGAATGATTTTTATGAGGACATTTCCCTGCTCTCCTTTTTAAGTTTCTTAACTTGTTACCCTTTTATTATAGAATTTCTGGGATGGTTTTAATAAAAATCCTTGTATTTCTATAGCACTTTTAAGGTTTGTAATGTGCTTTCTTCACAATAACCTGATAAAAGAGATGTTGTAGGGTAATATTCCCATTTCATAGATGAGGTAACTGAGGATCCAAAGAGTTATATAACTTGCCTCTCATCACATGGCTAGCAAGGGCATGAAATGTGATATTCTAATCCACGGCTAAGACCAGGGCTGCCATTCCTGGTAATGCCTGAATCTCCTGTCCTCAGTGTGAGGCCCTTCAATGCCTAAGGGATCCTCTGTGTTCTGAAAGTAATTAAATAATAGCTGTGGGAACCTCTTCATTCAGCCATCTCCCCTCTCTAGGGTTTTATTAGGTCTAAAGGAACACTGACATTAAAATGAAAAAAGCTGCCGCAGCTGTCCTATCCTTGCCCCACCTTGTTGGCTTCCCTCCTGGTAATTTTGATTACTGTGGTCTTTGGTTACTTGTGTTCCTTAATAGCGAGCTACAAAAATGTGGAGCTAGGCTAATAAAGGTGGCCAACACAGCCCAAAGTGAGTTCCTGAGCCTTCTATGTAAATTGTAGTAGCAACGGGGAGAGTGTCACTGTCCATCTCAGGGATGAGGAAGTTCCTTTCTTGGAAAGGTGTCATTTTGGTCATCTAAAAGACTTCATTCTGATGCTTTTTATACCCATGATCTTTTCCTAGTCCTGTTTCCTTTAGCCACTGAAGACCAGTGACAGGTCTAGGGATAAGTCTTTTCTTTTCATTGCTCCAATCCTGAACTTTGCACCTCTTTCTAGTCACTATTCCCACCCAACCCCCAATTTGTTGGTCCTGATGGCGGCTAGGGAGACTGGACTGGACGGTAACTAGTAGGGAAGGACAAGAAGGTAACCTGATCAGCTGATGCTTTCAACAAATCTGTAACATAGTTTTATTTTTCACCACATCTGTGATTTTACTGGTATAGAGATCTCTGATACAGAGAGAACCTCTGTCTGTCACAGGGATCCATAATTTCCCTTTGGCAGCTTATGTATGGCCCATACATATGAAGCCTATGGGTACTGGAATGCCCCTTCCTAAATATATAGAGCACAATTCTATGAAGCCTACAGACCCAAGAAAGTTTCAATAATTTTTTTTTAGGGGCAGCTAGGTGGTGCAGTGGATAGAGCACCGACCCTGGAGTCAGGAGGACCTGAGTTCAAATGCGGCCTCACACACTTGACACTTACTAGCTGTGTGACCCTGGGCAAGTCACTTAACCCTATTGCCTAGCCAAATAATAATAATAATTTTTTTAAAATGCATACAATGAAATGCATAGGATTACAAAGGAAACCACTTATATTGAAATATAGTTCTCAAAATATTGAAAAAATTCATATAACCCCTAAAATCTATCCATGGTCTCCTTGGGGGCCTGGAGACCACAGGTTAAAAGCCCCAGATTTATTGATCTATATAGTCTTCGAAGCTTACCTGGGGACACTGAGAAGAAGAGACTTTCCCAGGGCAAGAGGGCCAGTGTGTCAGGGGTGGGTGAACCTAGTCTTAATGGTAATCATCATTTTTATCTTCATCATTATTGCTGTCATTTATATAGTTCTTGAAGGTACATTTACCTTTTTTGTGTACATTGTTTTATTTGAGCCTTCCAGCCACCTTGAATGGATACTGAAGGCATTGTTATCTTCACTTGACTGAAAGAAACTGAGGCTCAAAAGAGATGAATTAATTTGCCAATGGCTACACAGATCGTACCAAGGGGAGAATCACACCCAAGTCTATCTGAATCCAAAACTAGCACACTGTCCATTACACTACACTGCCTCTATTGCATTCACGTATTTGCAAGTTCTCATTTAGTCATATATGTGGTCATTAGCCTTCTTCCCATAAACCATCATTTCCTGGTTCTAGTAGCCAGGACTACCCTTTTCCATTTCGTGTTTCCAATACCCTTCCCAGTCACCTACTGACTTTCAACCTTCCCTCTTGTGATTTGCCCTTGATGTTCATTAAAACTTGTTTTTACATATAGGAATGGGGGCAATATGTTTTGCTCAGATCCCTTAGTGAGGGTCTTATTAAAGCATTCATTGTAACACCAAAACTCTAATTAGATGGGGGAGAGTTGTGTTCTATATATTTAGGAGGGGGAATTCCATTACCCAGAGCTAAGCATATTGGACCAGTATTTGAGGAAGGGTCACCCATACTTAGGGCAGCTAGGTGGCACAGTGGATAGAGCAATGGGCCTGGAGTCAGGAAGACTTATCTTCCTGAATTCAAATCTGCCCTCAGACACTAAATAGCTGTGTGATGCTGGGCAAGTCACATAACTCTGCTTGCCTCAGTTTCCTCATCTGTAAAATCATCTGGAGAAGAAAATGACAAACTCCTCCAATATCTTTGCTAAGAAAACCCCAAATGATTTGGACTTGACTCAACAACAACAGCATCATCCATACCTGGGGCATGCCAAGGGCCGCCAGCTCACTTAGCAGGGTTAAGCCATCTTTACTTCTCCAGTGTGAGTGCAGCAGAAGTTCCTACCCCCAGCTTGGTCAGGGCTAGAATGTAAGGAGTGGTGGTGGGAGAGGCAAGGGGATGAAGAGAGCTGCTTTGCTATAATGTTGACTTTGTAACAATGGATGTTACACACTCACAGGATCGTAAGTGTTTGAGGTGGAAGGTCAACTAGTCCTACCCCACCATTTTATAGATGAAGGAACTGAAGCCCAGAAATTTTGTTACAAATCACACAGGGATTCCACTCGGGTTCTCTGAATCTAAATCTAGGGGGCTCTTTCCTTGGTACCACTCTGTTTCCCATGTTATTTACATTTAATTTTTCTGTTAATCATTAAAGGCCAAAGGGATACAAATCTTTCCAGCCCTTGTTTTCCTCAACTAAGTCTCCCTTACCTTCTTCCCCTACCCATGCTGTATCAGCATAGGCTAGCCCAGCCTAGAAAAATGACTCTTGGGGTTCTTCAGCTCTAGTCCTTAATCGTTGCATCCTGTGGTTGATCACAGTCTTTTCCTTTGGTGTGGCTCAGAAGAAAAGTTTGTTGAGATAGGACCAGAAAGCTGTGTTCCCCGGGGAGAAGGCTTGTAGGGGTTTGAGGTCACTTTTTTTTTTTTTTTGACTAATTCTGCTTGGCTTCCCTGTGTTATTTGGGGAAAGCCCATTGGTAGAATTTGTTCCTGGAAGGGTTGAGAGAGGGGCCTAGAAGATTTCTTTCCAGCTTGGATATAAAAGTCAAACTTCTTTAAGTGTTCTTTCCCACACTGAAGAAACCAGAAGATGGTGGAGGCAAGATCAGTCTGACTGCTTGGTGTTAAATCTCTAAAGTAACCACATCCCTTGGCCTTTCCTTCCTCAGGAGAGAGACTAAGGCAAGATATGATTGGGGGGAGGAGAGTTTTTACCTCTGTTTTGTTGTCCTGTAAAATAAACCACAGACTAGTCAGAGCTAGGTCCTGGGGCTGTAGGTGCTGAGTAAATGCTTGAGGAAAGAGAGATAAGGTAAGGTCTGAGAAATCTAGGTCACAGGACTGGAGCCAAGCCCCAGTGTAACTCTGGTCACCTTGAAATGGACTGAGGGCACTTTGCTCAGCAGGGTCATGAGGGAGAAGTACTAACCCTTTCCTAGATCCCTAAACAACTGATTCTGTGCCCTGGCTGTGTATATCCTGCAGGATCAGCCTCTTGAAGGCCAAAACAACTACAAGACCCTAACTCCATCCTTTCATCGTACATCCTAACCTTCTGGTCTGTGACCGGCACACCCATGACTCACTTGGGGGCCTTCAGAGCTCCTGTCTAAGTCAAGTCAATCGCAAGCATTCGTCAAAACACCTCCTATGGGCCAGGCACTGTATTTAGTGCTTGGGATGAAAAGAAAGGTAAGAACAGTTTCTGCCCTCAGGGAGCTCGAAATCTAATTGGGGTGAGGTGAGGATGCTCAGTGAAACCACTAAGTACAAACAAGATAAAATACACAATACCTCAGGGAAAGCACTAGCATAGCAGGAAAGGGGACTGGGAAAGGCTTCTTGTAGAAGGTGGGATTTCAGCTGGGATTTGAAGGAAGCTAGGAGAGAGAGATAAGGAGGAACTGGTATGGGGGACAACCAGTGAAAATGCACTGGCGGAGTCAGAAAAATGGAGTGTCACTCAATTGGCTATGGAAATCTGTCTTACCCTACAGGAAAATAGAAGGGGAAGGGGATAAGAGAAGGGGGGAAGAAATAGAAGGAAAGGCAGACTAGGGGAAGGAGTATTCAGAATGCATGCCATCTTGGGGTGGGGGGAGGGGCAAGATGGGGTGAAAATTTGGAACTCAAAATCTTGTGGAAGTAAATGTTGAAAACTAAAAACAAATTTAAAAAAAGATTAAAAAAAAAAGAAAAATGGGGTGTCTTGAACCACTAGGAAACCAGTTAGCCAGTTGTCAGTCACTGGATTATAGAGTACTTGAAAAGGGGGGAGATGAGGGGAAGAAAAATGGAAAGGTAGGTAGGAAGGGGCCAGGTTACAAAGGACTTTAGAAGGTGTTGGCATTGGAGACAGACAGCCCCTTTCACAGCTGGCAGAGGGGTTACATGGAATTTTTCCTCTCCGTCTTCTTGTGCTGTGAATGGTTAGCTCTGTTTCTCCCTCACCCCTCCATTATATTTCTAGAAGCAGATGACAGTGCTGATTCCTGTGAAATAGAAGATGGTGAGATCATTCCATGTGATTTCAGAAGGAACTATGGAGGGTGCATGTTGGGGGGCTGGCTAGCTTAGTGGCTGAAGCTGATGATGAAACCATCAGTCTCCAAATCTTAGCGTCCCGGGCAACTTTGCAGCTAGAGGTATACAGAGCTGTTGCCAGTCAGCATTGGTAGAGGGAGTTTCCTCTCAGGGCTCCCTAGACCAATGAAATCACAGGTTCAGGAACACACCCTCCCCACCCTACCCCACCCCTTGCCCCACACACACACCAATGAAATCACAGGTTTAGGGACACACCCTCCCCACCTCATCCCCGCCCCCCCAAATGCTCCCATTTTTATAGTGTTTTCCTTATAACACCCCCTGAGATCAAATCTGACATTTATATAATGCTTTTAAGATTCACAAAACCTTTTATGCATTCTCATTTAATGAGTAGAAATACTTGCTACACTTACGGGTGAGCTGAGACTCAGAGAAAAATGACTAGCCCATGGCTGCACTGTCAATAAATGTCAGAACCAAGGTTATGATGATCTCAAAAACCTGGGCATGTGAGCTCTGCCTGCATAGGAGAGAGGATGTCAGACTGGTTTGTAGTTACGTAAAACAATTTAATAGCACTGGCGATGAGCTTAGGGATGTGTAGAATCAGAAATGATGTCTCCACTTGAAGGAGTGTCAGTGCTGAAAAGAAAATGCAGAAAACCTCATCCTTTAGTTCTGGGGCTTTGTTGGGTATGGGGCCCTTCGTTCTCTGTTCTTTGTCAGAGATGGGGGGTGGGCAGTGTAGATTCTCCCAATGGACCTACGCTCATTGAGTACAATGGTGGGTGGAATCACAGCATTATTTAAATTGTTAGTTCTCTTTTTTTGTTGAACAAGTGTAGTTGAATTCACATAAGTTAATATCTATATGATGCAACTCCTTTGGATTTCCACTGATTTTGTTACCCTAATTCCAAGCGTGTTCTAAAGAACTAAAAATTGACTTTACTATACCTGGGAAGATGCCAAGAGGGAAGGCTTAGCAGGGAAGTGAGTGACTTCTGCATCTTATGGTATGCACAGGGTCATTAGGTAGTGCAAGGCACTGGGCATTAAGCCTTGGCACTCCAGAGCATGAGTTCTTCACCTTTTTTGTGTCACAGATCACTCTGGCAGTCTGGTGAAATCTCATATTACTGTGGTTGGTTACCTTTATTTTTAATAGGAGGAAATGCTAAACTTCATTAGAGGTTAGTGAAAACTTTTTTCTCCAAAAGTTCACAGACCTTTTGAAATTTATCCAAGGACCCCTTAGGAGTCCATAGTCCCCATATTAAGAACCCCTGTTCTAGAGGAATTGTATGTGTTACTGGGGGAATATCTCTGCAAGTATGCTCTTCCCATCGTGCATGAACTTTCTTCTCTTGGAAGCTAATCTGTAATCCACCAGCTGACCTGTGTAAACTGGTCAACTGTGTGTCTCTAACTGTGTCAGTAACTCCCAAAGACTCATGTTGACATGACCTGGATTTGATAATGAGGAAAACAGTTTGAAGGCCTTGACTTTTGTTGCTTGCACTATTATTGGCTGCTGTGGAGCCCAGCCCAGGCTTATCTCTGAGAATGGACTCAGGCGACAGGGCCTGTCTGACCTGCTGTTGAAATCAGCAGGTAAGCCCCCTCTCTTAACCTCCCTGTCTTCCAGTGAACTTCATCTGAACCGAGTTGGATAATAAAGACCTTGGTTGTCCAGACTCCTTTTACTTCCAGTTCAGATTTCTGATTCAAATTCTGTCCTGAGCCTAGGGATGGGGTGGGGGAAGAGTTTATCCTTCATCTGGTTGTTTACGTATTAACTCCCTTCTGCCCTGAAACCTAGAGAAGCAGAATTTAGAGGTAGCTGAGGTCAGGCGATTGTCTGTTTCTAGTATCTCTTGCCAGGCCAGGGCCCCCTTGGGGGATGGAGTGGGGTAGGGAGAGGGCCTTTGTGTCTTTGGGGTTGACTATACGTGTTCCTCAATCAGAAGAAGAGAGAGGGATTCCAGTCCTATTCCAAACTTTAACTTGAGAGGCAGCCATGGTAGTGTGCCAGGAGTACTTAACCTGGCATCTGTAAACTTGTTTAAGAAAAAAAAAAACAAAACAAAACCAAACCCAACTCTCAAACCAAATTTTAATTATGTATTTTCTTTTATGCATTTGAAAACATTCTGAGAAGGGGTCCATAGACTTTACTTCCAGACTGCCCTCGGGATGTAAGACACACATGAGAAAGGTTAAAAACTGCTGGTAAATCTAACATCTGTGTTCAAGATCCACCTAGATGTATGACCCTGGGAAAGTCACTTAACTTTAGAGCCTCAGTTTTCTTATCAATAATAGAATCTAATTCATAGAAATGTTGGGAGAATCAAATAAACCTGAACTCAAATCTAACCTCAGACACTAGCTGTGTGTTCCTGGACAAGTCACCTCTGTCTGCCTTGGTTTTCTCAATTGTAAAATGGAGATGATAATAGTAATACTTTACACAAGGGTTTTTTTTTGTGGTTCAAATGAGATTTTGTAAAGCACAATGAGATTTTGTAAAGCACTTAGCACTGTGTGCCTGGAACATAGTAGGAGCTTAATAAATGGTTGTTTCCTTCCTCTCTCCCTTCCTTCCTTCCTTCCCTCCCTAGGAAGAGAAGGATTCAGATCCATAGCCAGTCCAATAACCCAGCACTGCAAGGAATGCCACCAACCATTGCTTTCTCACTAGATCTCTTGCCAGTTTCATGCCCGTGTTAAGTTGTCCCAAATGCTTTGTCTCCTATTTCGTTCCTTTAGGCAGTCTTCCCTCAACCAATGTGCCCTTTGGGCTTAGCTTTCCCTGGGAGATTAGAGCAGAGAAGGGGAAAGCAGGGGAGGATGCTGGAGACATTGACCAAATCCTGTTCAATGGTAGGGACCCTAAGGCTCACTTCTGCTCTAGGTATGGCATGCCGGGGCCCTGGGTTGTGGCTGAAGGGAAAGGCTGGCTGACTCTAGCCCTTTATCCAACGTTGGAATTTGACTTGGCTAGGAAACAATTGTGCATATGCTCAGGCTTTACATTTTGGGTGGAAACTGGAGGCTGTAGGTTCATAAGTGTCAGGAGATACAAGGAAGGGCTGTGTTCAGTGTGTGGGCTGGGGGAATGTGGTGTGGCCTCCGGAGCCAGGCCCTGTCTCTGTGGGATCTGCCTGAGCCAGGCTCCAGCTCTAGGAATGTTTTTTAGTGATGTTCATTCCCTGGGCTGGACCCAGCTAGGACATTAGCTGTGCTTTGGAGTAAGTAGCAGAAACAAAATGTTCCCAAATCTGGATCTACAAACTAAGAGTGGCAGTTTTTCACACACACACACACACACACACACACACACACACACACACACACAC